CCCCCCCCCCCCCCCCCCCCCCCCCCCCTCTTAGCCTGCCGCTCAGGTTCTTCTCGTCGAGGAGCTCCTGCCGGGCCCCACGGGTACGGATCGCGGTACAAGATGTCGGACTACGTCATGGGCCTGGCGAGCCCGGGCGCCTTTCCCTGCCCGGAGGGCTCCCCGACCTACAACCTCCAGTTCAGCAAGCGGGCGGGTGATGGTCACCTCGTGGCCTTCGGCACCGAGCGCGGGACGCTCGTGATCGTGGACACGCGAGCCGAAGCGGTGGTCCAGAGGGACCACAACGGGCCCGTCGGCTGGGGACAAACGGACCGTTCCTCGGACTGGTTCTCGGAACGGGCCGCCAAGAGGCTCGGTGCTAGCGCGGGGGTCAAGCACGGGTACTGCCGGAGCTGGGGGGTCCGCCAGCCGGGGGTGGTTGCCCAGTACCGGGCCCTGGTCAACTGCATATTTGACGTCGAGTGGCTTCACGACGACGGGCGGATCGCTCTGGCCTGCGCCGACTCCAAGATCCGAGTGCACGACACCGAGACGTGCGTTGAGGTGAGGGGGGTGTAGAACTCGCCCACACGCTTACTACCACGACGAGGAACTTGGGTGTTTTAGAAATGACTACGAAGAAGAACCTGAGGGTTTGCAGAAAAACTCAGGATAGTAGTACGGACCACCCGTCTTTTGAGAACTTGGCCATGCGAGCAGACAGGAGCTCGGAGAAGCAAGCCTACCGTACGGATGCGAGAGCGGGCGCCGGGCGCGATCGAAATGTTAAGTGTTGTTTTCTTTCGAACTTTTCGCACCCCGGTGCCATTTCTCCGACCCCGGCGCGGAAACACAGTTTGATTGTTAATTTTCATCTACCTTGGTCAAGGCACCCTGTTGCCATCTCGCCGACCGGTGCGATACCCCAAGAAACCGCACACAGCGGCCTTTCTGTGCCATGGGGCAGAATGCGAGTCGGCTGTGGTGTGACTTCTGTACCGGTGGATCGTGGCTTGTGTGTTCTGTGCTTATGATTGAACGTGCGATTTGCATGACGATTGAAATTAAAGCAACCGACATTTTACTGCGTGAACCGCGACCATGCAGCGGGGAGGTTTGACCTGACGAGCCCTCACCAAATCTATGCATGCGTTTAAAACCTGCCCAGGTACCTCAGAACAGTAGCTCAAAAATACGCCTGGGCCCAATCGCGAAGCCCTCTATCTCATACGATCTTGGTCGACCCCGGTGCGGAAATACCAGGAAGCAATGCCATTATCGTATTTTGTTTACCCACCCCCGTGCCATGCGAGGTCAATGGTCTAACCACTACGGCAAGCACGACGATGAGAACCCCCCCCCCCCCCCCCCCCCCCCCCCCCCCCCCCCCCCCCCCCCCCCCCCCCCCCC